AAAAATTATTTTCTATTATAAAATTCTTAACACTTTCTTGCTGCTGTTAAATAATTTCTTTTGTTTGTGTTTGTCTGTGTGCACATTGTTATGTGACATTAAGTCTAATGAAATCAACAAAAACCATAAATCACCCCGACAATTCGCACAACCATTGTCTAATACCTTACGGTTAGTTTGTATGCCAAAATATCCATACAAATTTGCCAGGCCAAAACAATACATTGACTACAACAACAAACTAAAATACACCACCTTCAAATGTTTGGCTGTGGGAACGACCCGCTCACGTTCCGCTATTTACACATCGTAATTTAGATGACAAACAAACAAAAAAAATAAACTAGCCAATCAAGCGCCAAGAAAACAGCAAAGAAAAAAACTTGTTGATTTTTTCTCAAGTATTTATTTGTCTTGTATTTTTCTTCTCTTCACTCTCTTCGTGTGGCATAAAATGACATAAAAATATGTTTAGAGATAATTATTTTATTTTTTGTAAGAGATTTTAGTCTGTTTTATCAATTAATCAAGAGGATCGTTGGTGATTTAAGATATGGTGATGTGTTTATATATATATATATATATAAGTTGAAAGTTAGGGTGGATTAATATGAATACTATACAATAAATAAAATTAATGAAAATTAACAATATTAAAATCTAAAGAATAAAAGGAATTTAAGAGCCATAAAGATCAACCATAAAGATCACGTATCTGATGGAGGAGATTTCAAAATTCTATATGAAAATAATATAAGAGTGTATCGAAATTAATATATTAAATTTAAAGGAAATTACGATTTACATTATTCTTTTGTTTCCCTACTAACTCTCTTCAAATGTTGTCATATTTATATCGTCCACCTCATCGTTGAGATCCCATGAAATATATTTCAGATTCAGAGATTAAAAAGGATCTTTACCACAAATTACATGTAGTTCATATTTTGGCTTATGCATCTAATAATTTTATTTATAAAAAAACTCCGACCGAAGAGTCTAATAATTTTTCCATAGAAAAGAAATTAACTCTACGTTTTTTATTTAAAAAACTATAATTCTGTAGCGTTTACAGTTCTAGTAGGGCAAATATGGGAACGAGTAAAGAAACAAATACATTAGTTCGAATAATTGCATCTAGGTTGCGCAGTTCACATTTTCGATATTCTAATGTATAGTTCGTGTCTGCGCTAGCACTCAACGATTTACTTCATCAGCATTACTACGGTGGTTCATGCCTTTGCTAACAATTACAGGGTGGTTACAGCGCACATTTACGCTCTCTAGTACATTTGGAGGTAATATCAATGCAGTGCCAAAATCTCCCACCGGTCTTTATTTTAGGGCAGAGGTGTTAATGAAAAAATATTCCTTGCCAAATTTCACTATAAGTTTCCGAACAAGCGAAATCTGTATATAAGGTCTATATAGTCGAAATCACAGATCGAAATTCAATATATAATGGAAAAATAATTTTCAGGCCAATTTTGTAGTAATATCAATACAGGTCCAATTTGTATCAATAGTTTTCATTTTAGGGGAGGGGTCGTAATGGAAAAAATATTCCCAATCGAATTTCACTATAAGTCTCCGAAAAAGTGAAATCTGTACATAAGGTATATCTAGTTCTAAAACCAGCTCAAAGTTCGTCATATCAGGGAAAAATTATTTTCATTTACCTCATTTTGCACATGTCAACACTATGGTGAAGATGAAAGACGCCATCTGTAGCCCGCATATAAAGATCCCATACCATATTCGGTTCGTTGAATGGCCTAGCGGTAGTTTCCCACTGATCTATGGCCTTGATATAAAGGTTCTGCTCCATATTAAGCATTTTACCGGTGTAAGACGCATTTGCAAACCAAATTGGCTGTAACTTGGCATTATGGATTCTTGGAGGGTGAAAAAATATCTATGCTGAACATTTTCAATATACATAGATCTATAATTTGACATAGCCTCATAGCTTCGTTTTAGATATTTCAAGTGTATTGGGTGCATTTTTCTAACCGAAGTAGTTTGTAATTTGGTATTCCGTATTTTTGGCGGGTGAAAAAACTTTTCCCAGACAATTCAAGAGATTGATCCTAAATTTGACGAATCACCTATGTAATGATTCCTCCTCATCTTGGGAATTTGGATGAACCAGAACACTCTCCATCTGAAGTGGCTATAATTTCACCATCCGCCTTCTTGGAGAGTGAGATATATATTTGCGGAAACATTTTATATATAGGTTCAAATTCCATCTACGTTTCCGATTTGAGATTGTTTAAGAGCTTTGCTCGCATTTTTAGTCTGAAGTGGTTTTAATTTGTCATTACGGGCTTCTGGAGTGTGGAAAACATCTATGCTGAATATTTTCCATGTTCTGATATTGCCCCGATATAAGGGATTTATTTTAGGTATTTTCATGGTTTTAAGTAATATTCTTAGCTATATTTGTTGTTGTTCAAATAAAATTTTGATCTAAAATATTTACATTTTATAAATACGCTTCTGAAATTATTTTCCCCATCTCTTTCCAAAATGTTAACCCTGGTAACCCCATCACTCACATACCGGATAGAAGTGAAGCAAAGTTTAGGAAATGTTAATTTCTCAACAATTTTATGGTAATTGCTTATGGAATTTAAGTATTCACAAATACATATTAATATAAAACAAACATTAAACACACACATGTGCAAACATACACAAATCGTTCCTAGATATTAAAAACCAAGAACTTTGGTTTTTATGACTCCGAACACAAAACTATAACTAGAAAAACAAATAAATGTGAAAGGAAATAGGTGAATGTGAGAATTTGTTTTATTTTCCCCTTAGATGGGAAATAACAAGAAAATTGTTCCGGTTATTTACTTTAATGGCCTTATAATAACCATAAACATATTTGTTACACAAACAATAATACTTAAACACACATACCAAACTTACATACATATATGCCGAACTAACTAATAGTATTACCATAAATTAGAAAGCTCGGAGAGGGGTGGGGGAAGTCATCGACATTTAAGGAAAACTACTTTTGGTTGAGTTTTGTTTGTTTGCTGTGAATTTCATGTTGACACGCACATCTTATTAACATCTACCTTGCCCTCCTCTACTCTCTTCTGCATCTCCCTCCTCTCTCATCTCTCATTACAGAAAAATTGAAATGAAAATCTGTTTTCCATTGTGGTTCCATGGCACAAATAAAAATTCTCTTCATCCATCCATACCCATGAATGGGGGCTTAAGGATAATTGGTTTTGTTATGTGCCTATTTTTGGTAATACTGCCACACACTCATAGCCAAAATCTGAGAGAGAGTGGGCCAGAGAGCAAGGGGAGCGGGAAGCGTGAGATTGAATAATCATTAAACACACATTTATATAAATATTTTAACACAACATTAATTCAAGACCAATTCAAATTGGCTTCTATCCAAATTGAATTGTAGTTGTCCTTGAATTGAATTGTGTGTGTTTGAGTGTGTGTGTCGAAGCAAGAGAGCGAGTGAGTGAAGCAAATAAGCCTCTTCTAATGGCAGGGAAGACGACGCCAGAAATTCAAGAGCTTGGCTATGGCTTGATTATAATATCCACATTTTGTTGTTGTTGGTTTTTATTTTCAATCAGAAAACAATTTGTTTTGCATGAATTGAAAATGACATTTTATTATGGCACAAAACTATAATGGATTTTTTTTGTTTGTAATAAGAGGATAATTGTGAGGGGAGGAGGAGAGAGGGGGAGGAAACATAGGACGACAAGTGAAATTTGATTAAAAACAAATCAATGTCAATATTAAAACCACAATAAAAACTTAAAAGGCAAATTTTGGAGAATTAAAAGAATTTCAAACTTGTAAAACATTTTTTTTTGCAGAAGATATACTATGCAGGTCGATGTTTTGACATAGCTCTCTAAAAACTAAAAACTAAAACTAAATTGTTTAAGTCCATTTTCGGGGACCAAAAATAAATTGTTTAGTCCCATTTTCAAACGATGTGGAAACGACAAAGCCACATTTCTAACCGAAGGGTTCTGCGATTTTTAGGAGGGCGCTGTATCAGATATAAATTACCCGTCTTTTGCAACAACAACAAAAAAATCCAATTATAGTTAAGTCCAAAAAATCCTGTAATGTCAAGTTAACTACAAAATAGGCGCTTACAGCGGATATTAATCATTTCCGGTTTCCGATAGCCGAAAAACAGCAACAACAACAAAACCGCCTACTTAAGTGTTTTTAATGACTGGCTTACCAAGGGCCCAGTAGGCGAACGAAAAACTAATTTCAAAACACAACAAAACTGTTGCATGTTTACAATAACAACAAAAAACAGCAGCTAAAAAATGTTAAGGCATTTTTCTTGTAAACGCCTAGTTTTGCAAAAAAAAAACAAAACACGAAATAACCCAGTGAACAATTCGATGGGAATTTTTAGAGATCTAAACATTTATAAAAAATTTGCATTCTGAGATTTTGGAAGCCAAAATCTTCTTATATGAAAACATTTTCCATTGTAGGTCCATGTATTGCTATGACCTCTTCAAAAGGCCCCGCTCCAGTTTTGTTTCCCCAAAAATTTTGAAATTTGTGTAGAAAAATATTTCACTGGGGAATTTAGCACCTGCAGCAGGTAACTGGTCAAGTAAAGTGTATTTGCCCACAAAACACACACTTACATATACATATATATATATACAAAAACACCTTACAAATATCCACCCATACATAACTTTTACACCAAAAACCATAGCCTCCTAGCTAGCCTGGGTCTTACAAAACAATTGAGACATTCATCAAAGTCAGAAGACACACCAAGCGACCGTCCCAACAAACAACCAAAACAGCCAGTCATTCATTGATTGCATCGCATACATTTGTGTTGTTGTTGCTTAACGAAATCTCAAAATCTTTGAAACCTCCCAACAAAAACAAAACCCAAAACACATAAACTAAAAAAAACCGAAACCAAAAACAACAAATACAACTAAAAAATACCAACACCAAAAATGAATTTAATGTTTCGCAAGAATTTCCGTGAGGGTGCCAGCGGTAAGACGGGTGGCGGCGGTACCAAATTGCAAACGAAAGCAAATCGTACAAAACGTTCGCGTGATATGGGTCTAACATCGCAATCCGATGACATACACTACAGGACACATCTGTTTTTCTCACCGAATCGGCCGGGTTATGATGTGGGCGAAGGTAGGCGCTCACCCAAAAACAAAAAAAGAATAAACACATACACTCTCGCACACATACACACACGAAAATCAGTTACACCATAAAACATACAAATAAATGAAATCAAAGCCACACAATCACAAATTCACACACACATATAAAGATGTTTGTGTCTGTCTCTCATTTACAAATAAATCACAAACACACACATACATACTCTGGTACTAGTAAAAAATAAAACAAACTCATCATAAATAAATAAAATAAATACTACTCACTTTGCTCAAGGAAAGTGGTCATTGGGTAGAGGTTACTAAGGCAAGGATGAAGGGTTTAAATAAAAAATAAAGGTTTAAAATGTTGAAAAGACCACAATTTAATTCACCTTATATTTTGAATTTGTAAGTCGTATAACTAATATAGCAATCATACGCCCCAAATGCCCTTATAATAATTATCAATCATACGTAACCTAGAAAAGAATTTGTTTTGAATAAATTTGGCTTCAAATTTATTTTCTCAGAATTATTGAGGCTCATAAATAGGTAAACAATTTTTATTGCTAATCATATTTGGCAAAAAGAAAATCTTTTCCGATTTTGGAAGAAGTAATATTCCCATCAGAGGAAACATCGAGATGAAATTATACTATTTATACTATTACACTAGAGGGGTCTATGATCCGAAATGGCCCGAGTTTCACTTGGCCAACATCTGTGAACTGCTGCTGTATTTTTATTTTAATTGTATTCCACACATGTAAAGCATAGAGTATGTTCAGCACTCTGTCCAGATTCGGCGAAGATGAAGTGGTCCCATATCTTGAATATTACACTGGCTTATGAAAATATCCATTAGGGAAGGTGACGATAACTTTCACCTCTTCTCAAACTAACTTAGTGACTAGAAAGCTGAACTGCCACTATATTTGAGTATTACCAGTTTTTATATAAAAATCAACTGTAAAAATGGGTTTAAAAAGTTTTTTTCTGAAACCAATGCCTTTTTAATTAGTAACCCATAAAGAATCTCACAAACCCTTTCCACTAGTTCCTTGTCCAAGTGGGTAGTATGTTAAAAAAGTAATATACATATATGTAATTTAAATAACCGGCAAAATAATAGTAATAATAATAACAAGTACAATAACTTACTATGTCACGCAACACATGCCAACACACATCAATTACATTCATACAAACACACACAAACACATACATCTTTTGTACATATACATGTCAAGAGCCTAGCAAAAACAACTAAACTTTACTTACACACTAACATTAACACCAGTAACAGCAACAACAACAACGATAAAATATTCAACTAAAACACTAATCCTTAACGAACAGACAAACACGTAGTAGACGATGACGGGAACACGTACATAGTAATATAAACAACATTAAAGGGACCCCCCCATTCTCGGGGTCAAAATTTTTGTTGATATAATTCGAATCTACACTGATTAAAGAATGTCTCTACAAAATTTCAAGTGAAAATCTCAAGAACTCTTGAAGATATATCCGATTTATTGTGTCCGCATCAAGTAACGGCTAAAGGGCTTCTCAAACTTTAAACGCGTTTTTCTCTAAACATTTTTTTGCGAATGGCGGGCACGATAACTCAAAAACTCATAATCCAATCGGTTCCAAATTTTGCAACGTTTCTCTGGGAGTGTATAGCTCTCGTATGAACTAGGATAAAGCCAATCGGTGAAGATCTTCCTTATTTTTTAACTTGGTTTTTGGTAAAAAATCGGCGATTTTCCAAAAATATTTTTTCAAAGGTCCGCCATTTTGTTAATTTTAGAGCGAAGTCAATAATCCTAGTTCATACGGTTATTATTAATTTTAAAGGTCATGAAAAATATTCTTAAATAATTCAGAGCCAGACATGTACTCTTTCTAACACCGTTGGAATTTTCGGATTCCGATGTTCCAGTGAGGAGTTATCATGCCCGCCATCACAAATAAGGACTTTTCTTTAATTACAAAAAACAACAACAAAACAATAACAAAATTTTTTTGTAAATTATTTTTCTTCTCTTTTAAATCTTCAATTATATATGTGCAAAGTTACAAACCTTAACATTGGTATTGATTTACCAGACCATTGAAAATCTTGAAAAAATAAAATCGAGAATGGGGGGGTTCCCTTAAGTGACACATTGACATGGATAATTTTCTTCAAAAAAAATTACGATTTTTATTTATGATAGCTCTTAGAAAACATGATCCTAAAAAATACAATTATCAGGTTTGAACGTATAAGTAAATTCCCTGATGGCATAGGCCTGATAGTTCCTCATAAAAATATTAAAAAAAGGAGTACATATAGTTCTTTAAATCAAAAATCTCAAGTATTAGAATACTGATAATTATACAAAAATTAGTCATTCGAAAAAGTCATTCAAAAACATATATTATTTTTTTACAAATCATTTGTTTAGCTCGAATAGAAATTGAAAACCCTCGATAAGCCTTTCAGATAGTACCGATAGTCATTGAAAAGTATTTTTTTTCTGAACGAAAGATTATCCTTATAGTCCTGAAATTGTCTTTTAAAAACCTAATGTAATTTAAAGGCCTTACTATAATTTTAAATGTCATGAAAAATATTTGTAAAAAATCCGATAGTGTTGGCGGGTTATTTGGGATACAATTTGTCAGGCTGAATCACAGTTTGTTGTTTTTATAAAAAAACAAATATTTATTAGTGGGGAAAGTGTGGCATTGTCCGCCAAGGGGTAAGGCAGGGAAGACTATAGTTTCGGATCTCGTCACTGATTCTCTCGGGTTTATCCCTATTGTCATTGAAAAGTATTTTTTTCAGAACGAAAGATGATACTTATAGTCCTCGAAATGTCGTTTAAAAAATCTAAGATAATTTTCGAAGTCCCTACAATATATTTTATCCTTGAAAAAAATATATATTTTTTAAATATACGATTGTTTGAATAGTCTTAACAATTTATTTTGAAAAAATCCATGATTTTTTTATAGTTTTTAAAAATATACATTGCCCTTGTCGTTATAAAAACATTAAAAAAAATCTTGATTATCCTTTTATAATTCCATTCGTCTTTTTTATAATTACACAAAAAAATTCTGAGAGTTCTAAAAAATTTGTATTCAACAATTATTCTACTAGTCCTTAAGCCATAATTTATGAAAATAGGAGATCGTACGCGGGCTTGAAAAATATTTCTAAAATTCCATGGCTATGCTTTGGGCCCCTAATTCATGATTATCCTGGTGGTTCTTGAAACAAATTCATTGAATTTTACGATTATCCTCATAGTCCTAAGAAAATATTTTTTATATCCACGAAAAATTAAAAAATCTACGATTGTAATGAAGATCCTAGAAGACTACGAATATTCTCATAGTCAAATAATAAATAAAACTTCAAGGACATCTTTATATATTATCCTGAAAATCCTTCGACATGTTTTATCTACCCAAAAGTTTTCAAATTTTTTTTTAATTTTACTGAACACAAGAATTGTTAATAGTTTTTTACAGACATACCACGACATTTTTGTACATACTCTAATATATATAACACCACCCAATTTTACAAAAACAATTGTAATTACAATAACAACAATTGCTAATCCTTAAAATATTCGTGTGTGTAATAACTGATAATGCTCGTAGTGTGTTCTTGAGTACAAACTTTAAAAAAATGAACTTCGAACTTTGATTTAATAACTTAAAGAGGTGTGTGTCTGTATATGGTAACCTTTATATGTGTGTAAATCTTCTTCTTCTTCTTCTTATATGTATGTTTTGTGTATTTCTATCTCTTTTGTCTTTGCACTAATTAACAAAAATGACTAACTTTAAAAAAACTTTCACTTGAATAACTATCAAAAATGCAAAAATAAATTAAAAATTGTAGCTTTTTAAAAAAATTAAACAACTTTTTCGTAAGCAAGTCATACTTGTGGCACCATGTAAGTTTTTTGTGTGTTGACAAATTTCGTTTCCTTTTCTTGTAAAAAAAATCACATACAAATTTCATAAATTCATGTAAATACTTGACACGAAATAACACAAAAATTAGGTGAAATTTTAAACAAGATTTTCAAATTGAAAAAAATATTCATCACTGAAAAAAGAATAAATAATAAAAAAATAAATTTCGATTCTTTAAAATCTATAATCAGTGAAATATGACATTCTTGTTTATCTATTTCACCCAAATGCTTCTTTACACCCAACACAAAGGCTATAAAGGACCTTATTTTGTCATACAAAAAAAAGTTCCTTTTAAACCTAAACAAATTAAATTCACTTTTAAAGTATATTGAATTGGAAATATTCTAGATTATATACCTGCAGGTATGTACCTCAATTACATTTTTTTGAAATTTATATTATTCAAAATCTTTAATGGATATCTGAAAATTATATTTTTTATAATAATCCTAAAAATATTCCAAATTTACAAAACTATGTAAAACAAAATAAGGTCATCATACTCTCCCTCCTTTTTTCTTCTCTCTCTCACAAACTCTCTGATAAGTCCTCTTGACATGCATACTGTATGTATTTTCAAAATCTTTAACATAACTGTAATGCTTCCAAATGGCTGGCTTCGAATAATCCAAGATACCAAACGAAAAAAAAACTATTCAAACTGGCATTTTAACCTTTTTAAAATTCATGCATTCATAACCTCAAATTCAAGCATAACCACACTTTCATTTGCACACATACACACCCACCCATCCACACTATCACACACACACACACACTCACCAATCATGTAAATGTAAAACGATACATATATGCATTTTCACCATTCACATTCTCTCTCTTCACAAAAATTCAAATTTAAAAAAAATCAAAATATCAATCAACAGAAGAACTCATTGCAGAGCGGTGCAGTGGCTTTACCGGTGCTTGTAGTCCAACAACCATCAACACAACCGGCACGCTTCCACTGTCACCCATACAGCATGAGTCTATGGATGCACCACAGCCCCTAGTTGATCGCAAGCCCTCTGTATCGCTATTACGATGGAGCAACAACAGCAACAACAACCACAACGGCAACAACAACAACAGCAGTAACAGTAACATCAATACAAATATTCACAACTACCATTACCAGTCACCAATACCACCACAGCCGCCATCATCACCATCCTATAAAAGTAGTAGTTTTAGAAATCCAATTGATAGCCTACCAATGACAGAGACCAACCGCGGTAACGCCATCGCCAACTACAACAAGACAGGCAGCAACATTAGCTACAACACTGCGACCACGACCACGCCAGGCTCCTCCACATCACAACTACAACAACAGCAACAATTACAACCGGGGCTTGCGGGTTTATCATCAACCGCTGCTGTTAGGCAAGGTTTGAAAGTTGTTTCCTGAACGCCCACACAATCTAAACCCTCAACTTCCTCATTCATTTTCTTCTTCTTATTTTGGAATGCATTTTTTTCTTTCTTTTCCTTTTCCTGGTTTTTTGGCTATCATCATCTTCGTCTTCGTTTTCATCCTTCCGTTTCATGAGACGAGCATAACATTTAATTCATTTTTCGGCATCTTTAAACTTTACTTTCTTTTGGATATTAACACAAAGGATATTAAGGAATACAATGAATGGAGATCTCCTGGAGAACACTAAATTTTTCCAAATTCCAATTGTCCTGATTTTTCTGATTATCTTTATTGTCAATAAAACTATTTAAACAATTTTAGCCTAAGAAAAATATCCGATAGTTTACCAAAAATTATTTTTTAAAAAAATTATTTTTTTTTTAAATACGACGGCATCGGGCAACATTTTTGAAACTTTTTACCATTGAAATGGAAAGAATACTCAATAACCTTTCCAACGATACCCATGTTGTCCTGGAAGAATTGTCCTGATGGAGACATAGCCGCCAAATTATTCTTAATCAAGGAGATTTTCAAAAATCGTTTAATACGACGGTATCGTTTTCAAAACAGGGATACTTATTCTTTGGCCCGATTCCCTTCTCCATCCAAAAATTCGCGGTGTTTGGGCCATAATTGCGGCCTCTGTAGCGACCAGAAAAAACGACAAAAATAATTTTTTTGGTCCATTTCATCCTCTAAATATTATCCGATATTTTCCAATAGGGGTCTTCATTGGCCAGAAACATAATTGCGGCCTCTGTAGCGGCCAGAAAACCGACAAAAAATAAAGTTTTTGGTCCATTTCATCCCCTAAATATTATCCGATCTTTTCCAAAAACAATAGGAGTCTTCATTGGGCCGAACCCATCCTACATGCACAATTTCGCGAAGATTGGTACATAAATGTAGCCTGTATCGTGTTTACAAATTATAATGGACAGGCGGGCAGCCGGACGGACACACATGTCTAGATCGACTCAGCTAGCCGAGATATGACGATCGGTATACTTAAAGGTGGGTCTAGGTCCAATATTTCGCGGCGTTACAAACTCTTTGGGGCTGCACAAAGCTATAACACCCTGCCAACATAGTTGTGTATGGTATAAAAATTATCCTAATTGCTCTAAAAACGGGCTTTAAAGAAATTCGAAATTATCTTGATTGAATTTTAAAAAATCGAAAAAAACCTCATAGTCCTGGAAAATGTTTTCAAAAATCCTCGAATCCTGACAGTTCTGGAAATTTATTTTTATAAATTCACAATTATCCTTTTTAATCTGGTTGTCATTTAAAAATATTTTTCACAATAAGCCCCATAATCCTTCAAAAATATATTAAAAAAAATGACAAAATGTGCTGAAGTCCTTAATCCAAAAATTTTAAGATGTCTATAATTTGTTTTTGAAAAATATGTTTAAAAAATACATGTATTGTCCTCTAAAAATTCACAAATTGTCCTCGAATAAATATCCAATATTTTTTTTAAACATTCACGATTATCCGCAATATCCTGGAAAATATTTAAAACCCAACGGAAAAATAGCTGAAAAAAATGTTGCTTGAAATATATTTAAAATTCCATCAATTATCCTGATAATCATCCCCAATAAAAAAATAGGAATTTGGAAATGTTGAAAATTTGAATAAACGAAAAAATTTAATTTTTTGATTAAAATTCTGAAATAAATTTCTCATTCTGCCCCATAACACCCTCATTAACATTCTCAAATATCATTCAACCTCTCTTCTGATCATTTCTTCTCTTAACTTCAAACTAATAAACACGTTGTAATAATTTGTTTGTGTGTATATTATGTGTTTTTATTTTACTAAGAATCCCTGTGTTGTGGCAAATAAAGCTTGGCAAGCTTTGAAGCGTTCGAGATCCATTCCCACCTATATAACTAAACAAATATAAAAGGGCTTTGAAAACTAACCATCTCCCACTTCGTTAACTAACAACGTCAAGGCTCTATACAAAACTCAACGAAACTGTGTGTGAAGTAAAAAATCGACAATCATTAATAAAAAAAAACTACAAATCAATGACTTCAAATAGAGCTTGATTAGTTAAGCTTTTGTATAATATGGCCTTTAAGCTTTAGATGTTGAAAAATGTTTTTTGTTTAAAATTTTTATTAAAAATTATAATAAAATTATTTATTTTTATTGTTTGTTCTTATAGCTAGTTATGGCATATCGAGTGGCGGTTCGACCATGGGACCCAACAGTGGCTTAGTTTCAACTGGCGGTGTACGCAGCGAACCCATATCATTGGCCACCCTGGATCGTGATTGTTTTATAATACCTGTACATAGTGTAGATCGTTTTCTGCCAGCTGGCATACCGGTAAGTGTGTTTTCACAAATTTGTTCTAAATAACTTTTTATAACTTGTTTATCCCCTTAGCTGCCACCATCCCCAGTCGATGGTACGTCAACGAAACCTTCCAGCCCTCTCAGTGTTCTGGAGGTATCCGATCCCAAATTATGCATTTTAGTCCATCTGATGAGTCCTCTTGAACCCATCGATCCTGTTCTCGAATCCCCCTTGGCCCATCCACTGTTGAAGCAGCGTTCAGTGGCATCAGAACTATTAACTGAAGTGCAACAGGCCAATACAGCTGTGGGTGGTATGCTATTGGCCAATATGGAGAAAATTTGTAAGAAAGAGAATCGATAATTGTTTTTTTATTGTTGGTATTTGATGTGTGTCTTTTTTATTCCCCATGATAGCCGAATTTCCTTTTATTACCTATTATGTTATAAATACCACACAAACGGATCCTTCAAACTTTTATTCGGGCATAAGAGTTTCATCGTTATCGAAATTTGAGCCAAAAAATTTAAGGTGAGTTTTAAACATTACCACAGATAAACACACACACAAACAAAGGAAGTTTTGATATTTTCTGTCAACATACAGTGGGAGAAATTGGTTGTGAGGATGAAAAAAAAATATTTTGAAAAAAACCTAAGCCTATGGAACTCCACGCCGATATTAGCCCTTGAAAAAATATTTTGAAAAAAAACCTACGCCTATGGAACTCCATGCCGATATTAGCCCTTGAAAAAATGTTTTTAAAAAAACCCACGCTTATGGAACTCCATGCCGATATTAGCCTTTGAAAAAATATTTTTAAAATACCAACGCCTATGGAACTCCATGCCGATATTAGCCCTTGAAAAAATATTTTTTAAAAAAAACCCACGCCTATGCAACTCCGTGCCGATATAAGCCCTTGAAAATATATTTTAAAAAAAACCTACGTCTATGGAACTCCACGCCGATATTAGCACTTGAAAAAATATTTTTAAAAAATCCACGCCTATGGAACTCCAAGCCGATATTAGCCCTTGAAAAAATATTTTTAAAAAATCTACGTCTATGGAACTACACGTCGATATTAGCCCTTGAAAAAATATTTAAAAAATTCCACGCCTATGGAACTCCACGCCGATATTAGCCCTTGAAAAAATATTTTTAAAAATCCACGCCTATGGAACTCCACGCCGATATTAGCCCTTGAAAAAATATTTTTAAAAAAATCCACGGCTATGGAACTCCACGCCAATATTAGCCCTTAAAAATATTTTTAAAAAAATCCACGCCTATGGAACTCCACGCCAATATTAGCCATTGAAAAAATATTTTTAAAAATCCACGCCTACGGAACTCCACGCCAATATTAGCCCTTAAAAATATTTTTAAAAAAATCCACGCCTATGGAACTCCACGCCGATATTAGCCATTGAAAAAATATTTTTAAAAAATCCACGCCTATGGAACTCAACGCCGATATTAGCCCTTGAAAAAATATTTTTAAAAATCCACGCCAATGGAACTCCACGCCGATATTAGTCCTTGAAAAACTATTTTTAAAAATCCAAGCCTATGGAACTCCACGCCCATATTAGCCCTTGAAAAAATATTTTTAAAAATCCACGCCTATGGAACTACTTGAAAAAATATTTTTGAAAAATCCACACCAATATTAGTCCTTGAAAAATGTTTTTTTAAAAATCCACGCCCTTGAAAATCAAAGTTTAAATCCAAGAAAAAAATATTCCTCAGAGCTAATTAAAAGTCCTTCCAAAGAAAAAAAAAAACAACCATTTGAAGGATTTCAATGTTTCTCTCTAAGTAGATAATCATGAATGCCACATCCAGTCACTTAGTTTACAAACAACAACAAATTTGTGTGCGTTTATTTTTTTATTCCACATTGTGGCCGGCAGGCCAGTCACTGCCATTGCAAGTTCATAGATCTGAGATAATAATTTTTGGATTGGTTCCAGAACAACAAGAATAACTGTATCAACTGACATACTTACAAACAGATTGGATTCTTTACAAACAGGATATCCTTTTGGCGGAACTCAGAGTGTATGAATGAATGAGTGAGTGTGTTTGTGTGTGTTCGTTCCACTCACAAAATTGATCACCCGGTATTTTTATTCATTTCGTGATTTATGTGTGTCACACATTTTTTTATTATCACATTCGCCATGGTTCGTTGCCTCGATTGTTTGTGGCGAGATGCGGCTGATGCTGGCATCGCTGCTTCTGTCGATGACATTCCAAATGAATTGTAAGTAGTTGGCCAATTGGCCAACAATGAGGCCCAGGGTGCCGGGCAAATATTTTATATGGCTAATTTATCTGCCAGATCCATTGTATGTTGACAAGGATATTATTTTTCGGGTTTTTTGTTCTCTAAATTTATTTTAATGTTTTTGTTGTTGTTCTCTGTCTCATTTTTCGGTGATTTGAATTTTTAGATACACTGCCGCTCATACCCTAGATTTATACAGTGAAGTGGCTGCCATATGTCGTCCTCCATTACAACTGGCCCCCAGTGAAAGTGGCAGCTTTAAGAAGACACAAACTCCGGCCACCGGTTATATTATTTCAGTATTTAAGGTAAGTTGTTGTTAACACTCTCTCTCTCTCTCTCGCCATACATGTATGTGTATTTGTGTATGTGTGTTTGTATGTTTGCTAACTTGATTAGTTAGTCCTTGTTGGATGACTGGCTGCATGTGTCTCCGGCAGACATAGTCTATCTATTATTTAGCATGTGAATCCTGCATCTCCCCCTCTCCTTTTAGGCTACCCTCTCCCTCAGTGAACTCCTCACTGTTCGTTAATGTCCTGTAGCGAATTTCATGGAGCCGCCTCATGTTATATTTAAATGTAATTTAAGAACATGTTCTTGCCACTATTTTTTATTATTGTTTTTGCAAGCTAGCTTGATGCCATATCCTTGTTGTCGTTTTGTCATTTGTTTAGACGTTATTCTAATCAACAAAAAACGTTGTTACTACGTGTGTTTATCTTTTTTTCTTTTTAATAAAGGTCTTTGAAGGCGATGACGGTGAACGCTTTGAAAAGAATTGGCTTTATTGGACGGGTGCTAGAATGTTATACAGGTGGGTATTTACAACAACAGCAACAACAACAACAAATTATTTTATTTCTTGATGTTTTTTATTAATGACATTTTAACGGATATTACCGAACATACCGGATATTAACTATGCTGTCTATGAAGACATTATCATTTAGGATTTTTTTTGGAATATGTTAATTGAAAAACATTGAAACGATTTCCTCACCTAGAACAATTTTTTTACGTCCTCAGAGCCTTAAAGGCGTATAATAGCTCTTCTATGTTCTTATAAAAATTAAGATTCAGACGTGGTCCTCTACTGAAGAGTCGGAGGGTTTTCTTCCACTGGAGAGCATAAGGTTTTCTACGGGAAAGCCTCCGACCTGTTTTATACGTAACTCAGTTAAAGCATCTTCTTCTATAGAAGAGTCTGAATATTTTTAATAAAGACCTAGAGCTATTTTCAAAAAAGACCCTTTGATATTGATGCCAAAAAAGAGAACAGAAATGTTTTCCTGGAATGAAGTTCAGGGGGTCAAGGCCTTCCAATACAGAAGAACCCGCTGTCTTCTTCTCGTGCCTTATTTTAAAGAAACATCCGGGGTTTTTCTACAAATGAGCCTTCCCAATGAACCTAGAGTTACATTTTACAGAATATCAGGAGGTCAAACATTTTTTATTGCAGCTGAAAGGGTCTCCTTTGGAGGTAAAGGGATATTCTATAACAGAACATTATCGGATCAAAACGGTCTACTAATATAGAAAGAAAGGTATTTTTAGGCAGGCATGTGATCTTCAATAGTCGACCAAGAGGTATACAATAAAGCACCATGATGTCTTCCATAAATGACCAAAATATTTTCAATTAGATACCAGGATATCTTTAATAGGAGGCGAAAAGATCTTTTATAGGAGACCAAAAAGTCTTCCATATAAGAACATGAGGTCAAATAAATGAGACCAATAGATTTTATATACCAATAGGTCTTATATAGCACGATAAGAGGTTTTCTATAGAATATCCCGAGATCATCTATAGGATATTAAGGGATCTTCTATAGGAGGCTAAGATATATTTTTTAGGAGGCCAAAAGATCTTCTACAGGAGATCCAGACATCTTTTATAGGAGATCCAGAGATCTTCTATAGGAGATCAAACCAACAGAGATTTCCCCTAGGAGATCCAGTGATGTTCTATAAGAGATCAGAAGATCTTCTGCAGGATATCAAGATATATTCTTTAGGAGACCGAGCCAACAGGACTTCTAGAGGAGCCTAAGAGGTCTTCTGTAGACGATTAATATGCCTTTTATAGAAAACCAAAACCTTAAAGTTTTCTTCATAGAAGACCTAGAGGATTTATTTTACAAAAAATATAAGCGTCTTATTCAATAAAAGTACTAGGAATATTTTTTGTAAGTCTTCTCCATAGAAGCCGTGGATTTTTTAGAAGATTACCCACGGCTTGGATTGTTAGAGGGTTTTCTGAGGCCAATGCCTGAATATGTTCAGAGAGTTACCCTAGCTAAAGATGTGGTCTTCCTTCTTTCGAGAAATATCAGAGTGCAGGGCTGGGATTTTTTCAGCAGATATCCGAAGGTTTGTATTTTAGAATTAACCTTGCGAAAGGTGCAGATTTTTTGAGAGGATTATATGAGGCTTAGACTTTTTCAGAGTATTGTCCGAGCCCTAATTTGGATTTTTTCAGTCGATTATTTGAGCCATCGTCATGAATTTTATATAAAATATTTGGTCGCCCATCAGAGCCCAAGAATGAGATTTTTTCAGCAGTAATCAGAAAACTTGTATTTAATTCAGAAGGTTATACGAGTGGATTTTGTTAAGGATTATTCTACGAAAGTTGTGGGGTTTTTAGGGGATTATCCGAGTCCAAGGCTTGAATTTTTTCGGAGGACATTCCGTGATTGAATTTGGAATTTTTCCTGTAGGTAATATTCCTGGCCTGTATTGCAATATAATATTAGTAAGCCAAAATTTTGGAGAACTATATGAGACCAGCAGGAGTTTTCTCGAGCATATTCTGACGTTTTTTTTATAAAAGGTTATGAATATTCTTCCCTAGAATCACCTTAAAATAGAAATCGTAGTCTTAGAAGTACTTACCCAGAGTTCGAGGACTATATGAGACCCTTAGAATCCAAATGTCGTCTCTAGCAATTTTTTGGACTTTTTTCTATATAAGGCCATAGGTCTCTTTTCCTATAATCGCCTTCCATAGAAATCTTCTTTATTAAAGTCCTAGTGGCAAATTTCTTGTAGTGTATTTCTACATAATCTTACTTAACTAGAGTTATGTACATGTTATTCATATTTCCTCCTCTGCCTCCCCATTATTTGCATTTGTATGCATTTAATATTTTTCTGCCTTTCTTCCCATCTCTCTTCCAGATATTTACCACGTACAGCCGGTTTACGGCGCATATCTTTGCATAAAAGCACTTCCCAACGTGGCGATAAAATGTACCTGCTTATCTGTGAGTGTGCCGAACTGCTAAAGGATATCAATGCTGCTGCCGTTTTAATACCTGCCCTAAGAGCTCGCCTGTGTGGCTATACGGGGTTATATAGGCCAATACAAGCGTTTTAGTTAGTAAAAAGAAGAACAGAAAAAATTGGGACAACGATTTGAAAAGAAGGCGCAAAAAGAGGACAATGTAAAAACACAAACAACAACAAAAATATGGGTGATACATTAAAAAATAGAAATAAAAAATGAACAGCAAAAAATACAAGAGTCAACAAAATATTGATTTTGGTAATTATTTTTGGGTTTGTTTTTAATTTATTTTTTCAGTTTGTATTGTGGAAGGTGGTATTTGAATATTATTTTTTTAATCATATTTTCCAATTTTGTTAAAATTAATTTCGAATATTAAAGTTTCTGAATTGTATGCCTCTTTAGGGCGAATTATCATTTATGCAATGTAAATTTCATAGATTTATGATTTTAAAGAGTTAAAATTATTTTTTATATATTTTTATTTTTTAACCTTAAAGGGTTAAGATTCCTTTGAAGAGAGTTCATTTTTTATTATATTTTAGTTTGGTTTTCGATTTTTTTAGTTATTATTTTTAATTTTTATTTGTTTGCCTGATGATCATTTGAATGATTTTTAAGTCAGCCAGTTATTATATTTTAATAAATTTTTTTATTTATTATTTTTTTTATTTTTAAATAAATACGTTTTTTATTTCATATATTATTTTCAAAAAAATTACAAGCTACAATCTTACATACATATATATGTAGTTGTAATACAAACAAACATATTAGTGATATTCAAAATCTCTTCCAATTAAAATTAACAAACAACACACACAGAGTATAACAAAAAACCAAACCTAGAACTTATGACAAGCAAATATCCTATAGGACCATATTCAGTGAATACAAAAACAAAATACTCACAAATAAAATAAAAAATAATTAAAAACAAAAATAAAATAAATGTATAAATACAAAATATCCCAAATTAAAAAATTAAAACAATTTTATGAATTTTTAATAAAACAAAACACCTTTTTTGTGAACCAACGTCAAATTAAGCTTGTACAAAAAAATTCAATTACAAAAAAAAAATAGGCAGCAATAATTTAAAAATAAATTTCGAATTTTTCTCTCTAGGCTAACTTTAAATTTTAAAGCAATGCAATGACTATTTAAGTCGGCTTTTTTATATTAAAAAATTTGAATTTAAAAAATAATAATAATAATTCACAATGGCACTCACTCAAAACGGATACAACACTCCAATGAGTTAAAACAACAACAACAACAAACCAAACAATCAAGCCTACAAACAACCGTACCGAATGAAAAAAAATAAAAATAACAAAAACAAAAAACCAATGAATCAATCATTAAGTGCTAAATTATACAACAATAAAGACACAAAGGATATATAAATATAAAATACAAAAACAACAACAAAAGAGAAAAATAACCATAGCCATATAGCATGTGATTTAAATATACACACATACATACCTATATACAACTTTCTCCCACGCTTTCTCCTCGTGATGTTTAACCCTTAACCCCCTGGGGAAGTTGCTGATTTTTTTTTTACAAAAAATAGAACAGAGAATTTTGGAATCATTTTTATGGGGAAACTGAAAACTCAATATAAAATAATTAGTCTTCAATTCTGCAATGAGAAACAAGAACAAAATTAGTGTCAACATTGTTTACATTTAACCAAAAAAAGTCACCATTTTATCATTTTCAACTTTCACATAACTTTTCTCTAAAATAACATAAGTACATTTATTATTTGTCTATATGGAATAAAACTATAGAATTTCCTCGAACCATTGGTGCCACATTTATGAAAATCGGTTAAGTAGTCGCTGAGTTATTGGCATTTAAATTCAACCATGTTCCAGTGCACCCTACTGTTTGGTGCTGGGCGCCTATTACCTGAAAATGAAAAACCCCACAAAAATGCATTTTTTAAAAAGGGAATTTTTTTCATTCATGCCGCTGGCTTGTAAATGAAATTAAGTGTAGCATACTTTTCGGTCAAACACAGTCTGTATGTAGGTAGCCCCATTTGATCTATTGATACTGTAGATCAGGCACGGGCGGATCATAAAAAATTCTGTTCTCACGCACTTGTCTTTGTGTGTGTGTCAATGGTTTTTCAATTGGTTGAATGTGTGTGAGAGAATAGTGATACTTACTCTCGCGAGAGAGCACGCGTGCGGTGGTTCGCCCGAATGTGCTGTAGATCGTCATGGCGAAAGCGAAAAATTTAAGGTTCTGGTATTTTTTGCATAACTTTTGAACTACTAGTGCTAATGCACTGAAATTTGTGTCATATGAAAGCTAAGAAGACTGGCTATTTCAAAATCTATTCATATTCTAACAAAAATAAATCTTTCTATGTGAAAAATTATTCTGAAGGTTACGTTTGAAAATTGTCCCTTTAACCTAGTTTTTAAAATTAAATTAACCATTTCTATAGTAAAGAAAAATATCTCCCCTTTAATATGACACATTATTTGTGTTAATCGGGCTGTTGGTTACAAAGTTACAGCCGGTGGAAGACAATTATGAAGAAACTCCCATAAAGAAAGAGGAAAGTTTAAACTGGGTTGACAATATGATACCTTACATCACATTGGGTATATACATGAGATTTTTCTACAAGATAATGTTTCGTATAAATTGATAGTATCTATTCCGTTAAAAGTTAGCAAAAATTAGTTGATATTTTAAATATCTTGGAACTTTCACATAATGCTAATTTTCTCTTATATAACATACTTTTCTATGTGTTTTGTCCATAAGGAATAAAACTACAGAATTCCCTCAATTCAATGGTATAACATTTATGCAAATCGGTAAAGTAGTCGCTGAGTTATTTGTATTTGAAGTCAACGATGTTCCGAAATACACCCTGCTGTTCGGTGCTGGGCACCTGGTACATGCAAATGAAAAATCTCACAAAATCGTTCTTCTAAAAATGGACGAAACAAAATTTTATTTTTCCATTTTTAAAAGACCGATTTTGTGTGATTTTCAGGTACCAGGTACCCAGCACCGAACAATAGGGTATATTTCGGAACATAGCTGAATTCAAATGCAAATAACTTAGGAACTACTTAAGCGATTTACAATAAATTTTGCACGAATGGCTCGAGGGAATTCTGTAGTTTTATTCGATTTTGACAATACATATTTAAATTTATTTATTGAAGAGAAAAATAGCATTATGTGAAAGTTTAGAGGTATTTAAAATATCGACTATTTTTTGTTAATTGTAAACAAAGCAGTACAGTCGATTTGTGTAGCCTGTGCTATAACTTTTTCTGTAAATTTGTTAGCACTGGCAGCTAGTTGTCGTCAGCGCCACCTATTGAATGGTTAGATCTAAATATCGATTATGCAAAATTTATACCTCATTTGTTTTTCCTATAACTTTTGACCTACTGCAGATATTTGAATGAAATTGGTGTCATATTAAAGGTACAGTTCCATACTTTCTTGTAAAATAACAATAATTTAAATGTAGGTTTACATTGCACCGGATTTATAAAAATACAATAGATTTAAATTGCCAATTCAATTACATAAATGCCATATGTAGAGAGGAGGTTAATCCGACAAACAATTCTAATGTAAATCCCTTTTAATAGATTTTTAAAGAAAATTGCTCGTATTTTTTTTTTATTTTTCAAAATTTCTGAGTTTGAAATGTAGTATTAAAGTTTTCTATAATTTTCCTCCGTAATATTTGTGTTATAAGAATATGTTGCTGGCAATAGTAAAGTAGACGACTGACACCTTCTGTTGAAAAGCATTTATCTGTTCAAAATTTTTACGCTTTAAAGGTTGGACTTAAAAACCTGATTTGCATGATTTGAATTATGACCATCAAAAGATGGCGCTGACGACGGTTTTTTAATGCTTACCTCATTTATTTTAGCTATAACTTTTATTGTATTGCTGGTATTCGAATGAAAGTGGTGTCATATGAAAGGTAAACTTTTATACTTTCTCGTAAAATAACAATAAGGTTAATTTTGCAATATGAAATGTGAAATTTTCTATAATTTCCTTCGGCAATATTTGTTTTAAAAGATTTTTTGCTGGTCATAGTAAAGTAGATGTTTTACTCTTTCATATGACACCTTTTTTTGAAGTGCGAGTCTCTGTTCAAAAGTATTAGCTAGGAAGGTCGGACTTAAAATAATTGATTAGCATGATTTGTATCATGTCCATCAATAGGTGGCGCTGACGACGGGTTTATAAAAATAGCATACCTCATTTATTTTTGGTGAAAATTTTTTTTGTATTGCTGGTATTCTTTAGGTGGTCTGACAAAAGTATAAGCTTGGTAATGCGAACTTAAAAAAATGATTTCCATGATTTGAATCATGTCCATTCATAGATGGCGCTGACGATGGTCTTATAAAAATTGCATATTTATTTACTTTTGTTAAAACACTGTTCATATTGCTGGTATTGTTCAGCCGAACAGACTAAGGCCTTCTACAGTAAATTTAAAACTTATCCAGAAATGGTATAGGGAATATCCAGCAATTTTTATTTAAAAATCTATGACAGAACCTCCTCCCATTTTCATCTGCTCATTTAAGGGTTATGTGTAGTAAAACAAAAACAACAACACATGGAAATTAACATAAAACCCAAAGAAATAAAAACAGCAGCAACAAATAAACGAACGAACATCAAAGCTAACATAAATTTATTTCTTTTCGAATGGAAAATAAAAAAAATGTGAGGAAACTTTAACAAATGTTGAAAATATAAATTTATATGCGTCTGGGAATTTTCTTGTCGGTTATTGGGGTGGAATGAAATCTATATATTTTTCAGAATGTTTAAAATATATATTAGAAGAAGACCTCAAATGTGATAAATTTTTGAAAATGACGCAACCCAGTTGGTTAAAAAGTTACAGCCAGTGGAAGACTATTCTGAAGAAATTCCCATAAGGAAAAAAAATTGTACTGGGTCGACTGTATTATATTCAATATCATTTTGGGTATATACAAAAGATGTGTTCACAAGATAATGCTTCTTTTTTGGATCGTTCGGAACGTAGATCCTAGTGGTAGTTGTTGGGTTTCATTGCAAAAAAAAAAAATGTCTGAGGTCAAGGGATCTTCACCCATCTGTCGATTAATTGACTATAAATCCAATATTTCATTTCTAAATGTCTAATTTCAAAATGTTGTTAATTTTCCGCAATTTTTTTCTATATATGGCAAAGGAGTTGGTGTATGGAGATTGTTAAAATAATATTATTAATTTATATATTAAAAAAAAAATAAAATACTCAAAAAACTGCTGTGATACTAAATAATATTCACACACAAAAATATGAATAAATTAAAACAACAACAAACAAATGAGAAAAAATTAAAACAAATTTTATTTCACAAGTTAAATATCCAAGGAAATAAAATTATTATCTGAAAATTGCTTTACTTCAATTATTTGGCAAATACAAATTAAATTTTATGACTTTAATGGGTACACTTAAGTTGTCAATAAAAATTATTTCACAAATAAAAATAAAATTTTATTAACCGTACGGCCACATATTTGCATAGCCGCTACAAAGTATTATTTAAGATTTTTTTCTCTTGGATATTAACTTGTGAAATGAAACTTTGTTTGTTGTTGTTTAAAGAAGCAAACAAACAAACAAATCATAATAACAACAACAACAAGATAAAGACCATTTAAAAGCACCTCTGTAATTTACAACTTTTTAACAAATAAAATAAAAAACAACAACAACAATTATGCTTATAATAAATAGATTAAATTTTCAGCAAATACGAAAGTAAGTAAAATAAATTAATTTATTATAAAAAATAAAAAAAAAATAATTATATTTATACACACATACACAATCTACACATATGTACTTCAAATTGAAGCATAACCTAACTAATAAAAAATTAGAAAAAAAAACGATATGAAAGATTCTAACCTTCATTACAACACAAAAGATAAAATAAACTACAAAAAAAAAGACAACAACAAAAAACCGTATACAAAATAGTTTTTAATTTATTAAAATAAATTCATATTAAATTACTAATGAGCAACGCCAATGTGTATGTATGTAAATGTATATACAACAAAAAAAAAATCAATTCTAACAGAGAGTCACACAACATCTGGAAACAAATAATAAAAATAAAAAATAATGAAATTAGTTTTTAAAAATATTGAAAGAACAGCATCTAATAAGAACTATGTTTTAATTGCCACTAGAAAAAATAATGAAAAAACAACAACATCAAACTAACAAACTTAATTTATTAATAAGCTTAAATTAAAATAAACCAAAAACAACAAAATAAAATAAAAGAGGAATGCCTAAGAAAATGAATTAATTTAAACTGTTTTATTCTAGAATTTTATTATTGAGTTCAAAATATATATTTAGGTCATGATAGTAAGAAAATGAAAACTCCCAAAAATAGGTGGTAATCCTTTGCAACCAAACAGAAGAAGACAATCTCTTGATATTGCCGTGGTAAATTTTAGAAAACTTTAATACAACATTTTTTACTGAAAATTTTTAAAAATTAAAAAAATAAATAAAATTGTATTACTTTCCAAGAAAGTATGAAATTGTAGCTTTCATATGACATCAAATTCATTAAAATATTTACAATAGGTCAAAAGTTATAGGAAAAATAAATGAGGTTTAAATTTTGCATCGAATCGATTTTTGGATCTATCCATTCAATAGGTGGCGCTGGCGACAACTGTTTGCCAGTGCCGCCAAATTTACAGAAAAAGTTATAGCACTGTACTGCCTTGTTTACAATTAACAAAAAAAATAATCGATATTTTTTAACATATATTTGAATATTCGTGTAATGCTATGTTTCTCTTTAATAAATAAATTTATATATGTATTGTCGACATGGAATAAAACTACACAATTCCCTCGAACCATTGGTGTAAAATTTATGAAAATTGGTTAAGTAGTTGCTGAGTTATTTGTATTTGAATTCAGCTATGTTCCGAAATACACCCTACTGTTCGGTGCTGGGTACCTGGTACCTGAAAATGAAAAATCACTCAAAATCGGCCTTTTAAAAATGGAGAAATAAAATTTGTTTCGTCCATTTTTTAGAAGAACGATTTTGTGAGATCATTGACTTCAAATACAAATAACTCAGCGACCACTTTACCGATTTGCATAAATGTTATACAATTGGATCGGGGTAATTCTGTAGTTTTATTCCATATGCAAAAATATACAGAGACGTATGTTAGCATTATGTGAAAGTTCCAAGATATTTAACAGAGCAACTAATTTTTGCAGTTTAATTTTTCCCCTTTCTTTATGGGGGTTTCTTCATAATTGTCTTCCACTGGCTGTAACTTTGTAACCAACAGCCCGATTAACACAAATAAGGTGTCATATTAAAGGGGGTATATTTTTCTTTACTATAGATATGCCTAATTTAATTTTTAAAAGTAGGTTAAAGGGACAATTTTGAAACGTAACCTTCAAAATAATTTGTCATCTAGAAAGGTTCATATTTGTTAGAATATGAATAGATGGATATAGCCAGTCTTCTTAGCTTTCATATGACACAAATTTCAGTGCATTACCACCAGTAGTTCAAAATTTATGCGAAAAATACCAGAACCTTAAATTCTTCGCTTTCGGCTACTACAGACTGTGTTTGACCGAAAAGTATGCTACAATTAATTTCCTTTACAAGCCAGCAGCATGAATGAAAAAAATTGCCTTTTTCAAAAATGCATTTTTGTGTGATTTCTCATTTTCAGGTAATAGGCGCCCAGCAACGAACAGTAGGGTGTATTTGGAACATCGTTCAATTCAAATGGAAATAACTCAGCGACAACTTAACCGATTTGCATAAATGTTAAACCATTGGATTGAGGGAAATCTGTAGTTTTATTCCATATGGATATATATATATATATAAACTTGTGTATATATAAAAGAAAATTAGCATTATGTATGTGAAAGTTCAAAGAAAGTTTCTAACTATTTTTTGCTAAATGTTAACAAAGTAGACACTATCGATTTACACGAAACCTTCTCTTGTAGAAACATCTCTTGTGTATACCCAATGTGATGTAGGATATCATATTATCGACCCAGTTTAACTTAACCTTTCCCCTTTTTTGTATAGGGGGTTTCTTCATAATTTTCTTCCACTGTCTGTAACTTTGTAACCAACTGCTCGATTAACACAAATAAGGTGTCATATTAAAGCGGAGATATTTTGCTTTATTATAGAGACCCAAATTAAATTTTTAAATCTAGTATAAAATGATAATTTACAAATCTATATTTCAAAACAATTTTTCACATAAAAATGTTCGTATTTATTAAAATACAAATAAATTTCAAAATAGCCAGTCTTCTTAGCTTTCATATGACACAAATTTCATTACAATACCACCAGTAGTTCAAAAGTTATGCGACAAATACCGGAACATTAAATTTTTCGTTTTTGATATTTCAATCTGCATCAATAGATGGCGCCCAGTCACAAAATCATCAGGTCGCTACGATAAACCAAGGCATTCATAAAATGTGAATACTTTTGAACGGAATGTGGTATTTGGAAAATTCAAACGGTTATAAGCAGCATAGAACTCACTGATTCTCAGTGTAGTAGGCAAATTGTGCTACAAAATAATGTCAAGAATTTTTAGAGAGCTTTCTATGTTATTTGACGATAAATTATACATCGAAAGAGAACTCCTGCTATTTTAAATAACAGTTGGATTTTTCGAAATATCTCAAAGCATTCGTAATTTATTTGAATTTTACCAATACCTTGATTTTCCCTTACGATGTCATTTTTGCGACTGGGACGTCATCTATTGATGCAGTAGATCGAAATGGCGAAAACCAAAAATGTAAGGTGTGCTTCAATGTTCAATAATTTTTGAAATACTTGGAGTATCGAAATAAAATTGTTAGCAGTTGAAAGTAGAGAACTTTGGCTATTTCGATATTTGGTCGGAAATTAATAAATATTATATGCTATATATTAAAAATTGTTTAAAAATATACCTTTAAAAATTACAACCTTTAATGAGGTTTTAAAATAACTTTTATCGATACTATAATAAAGACAAAATGTTGTCCTTGTGTTAATAGAGCAATTTGTAATTTTTGATAAAGGCATTCTAAGACAATTCCAAAGAAACCCCCAGAAAGGGTTAAAATTTCCAATATATAAAAAATATCAGTTATTTGTCAAGCCGTCGACTTTTCAAGTGATATATTATTTATATTTATAAATCCGAAGATGGGACAATCTCTTCTGGTAACTCTCCACAGATGGTCAACTCTTTGATAAGACATATACCTATTATACAATGAATAATAAATCTTGAGTATGATGTATATATGAATATGTCAGCAACACTGACATTTTTTCACTTGTTTTTTATTTATTTAAATAACTTCTCATAACATTTTATTTCTTATGCTAAAAAATTACTAATTAATGTATATTGGCACATTGGCGGCATTCCATTGTTATTCAACAACGGGGTTTTTTGAACATTACATGACAGAGTTATTTTTATTAATTGGTATCCTTGCTGCAAGGATACAAACATGTAAGCAGTATTTTTTTTTGAGGATGTAAAAATAACGGTAAAACATAATATAAAATTTACTAAAAACACTAATACCTACTATAACTGACATTTGTAAATATGGGGTTGTTGTCTTAATACTAAAAAATTATTTTAGAAAAAAAATTGGCACTAAATTCAATGAAAAATATTATTACAAAATCTGGACCATAATGATTCTGATTGAGGATTTGGTACTGCTTCCATTTCGGGTAATGTTCTCCGGTAAAGTAAATATTCCTGATAGAGTTTGGGGTCGGCTGGACCCCAATTGCGACAGGGTTTCAATGAGTTGTAGAATTTCTGAAAATAATTATTTTTATTTAAAAATTATATTTTTATAAAGAAAATCCCTTACTCACCTCCCTAAAAGTGTCACCCTGTTGCTTGTAAATGGCATGCAGAGCCCATAATGGCAGCTGAGCCACACCAATGCCCCACAAAATCCAAGCCATATTGTAGACACTCACAGGATACCCAACACCATTATAGGTCAAGGGTTCCAAAGTAATTAATGTATACACCAATACCGCAAACATCAGGCCCGGAGTGATGAGAGCCCAACATATACGCCAGTAGAGGCCAGTTTTAACACCCAACATAAATTCAATGTCCTGACACAAACGTTTGACACCTGGAAAAGAAAATAAATTGAAAATGAAAATATACAACTCTAAATTTGTGTGTGCAAAAAATTTTGGAGACTTTTTACTGGGAATGTGAAGATTGGATTTATGTAGAGAAATTTCAAATAAAAATTCAAAATATAAGAAGATTTTCCTTCACACTAAGTACTTTTCTTGAAGTTTAAGTTATTTTCCGCTGAAAGATATTGCTATGGAGACTTCCATAGGAAAATCTTCCTTTGGAGATTTTTGTTCAATAGAAGAGTAGATTTGTCCTTTCATTTTTCCTAAGGAAATTTTTCGTATTCTTCTTATAAATATGTCCATTCTTGAGACATGCGGAGACTTTTTGGAGTTTTCGTTTCAAACTTAAGCCAAAGAAAAACCTACTGGTGGAGAATTAAAGGCTTTTATGTTTTCCTTTGGAGAAAAGTATGTATATGTAGATTTGTCATAGATATTTTGTTTGTGTAGAGATTATTCTTGTGATAATAAATATCAGTAAAATAGTCTCCACAGATAACATTCTATATAAAAATGGCTTTCTTTGGAGATTTTTGGAAAATTATGGACACATATTTCATAGAGATTTTGTATATTTAGAGATATTTTTATATAAAAATATTTTTCTGTGGAGACTTTTGCCAAATTATCCTCTGCGAGAAAAGATATCAGTAAAGACAATAGACATTTACATAAGAAAAGTCTCCACAATTAATATTTTACATTATCCTCTGGAGATCTATACTAAATTCATCTTATGAAGACTTATTTCCTAGAGATTTTGTTTATTTAGAAATACAATTTTTTTAAGAAAAAATATTCGTGCCAAATTATCCTGTGGAGATTAATACTAGAATCGTCCTATGAAGACAAATTTCATTGAGAGATATCAGTACAGAAAATAGACATTTCCATAAGGAAGATCTACAAAGATAACTTTCTATATAGAAATGTCTTACTTTGGAGATTTTTGAAAAATTTTCCTGTGTAGTCTCCAAGTCTTCTCCCTATTGAGAAATCTTCTTGTTTTTGGGGAAAATTTTCTGTGGAGACATTTTTTGTAGAAAGTTCCTCCATAGAGATTATATATAAGTATTTTCTTATGACATTTTTTGTCTGGAGACTTTATATTGAAAATTAATAATTTTCTAATTTTGTAGAGAAAATAAAGAAAATTTTTATGTAGAGACTTTTCGATAATGTGGTAAATTTTTTAATTGAAAATTTTCTTATTCAATAGATTGGTAATTTTTTTCGTTCCGTTCTTCCTAATGAGAATTTTTCTTGTGGAAAATTCTTCCTGTGGAGACTTTTAATACAATATTGTTGATCTTTGTAGACTTATTTCCAACATTTCCTCATATGGAGAATTTTACTGTAAAATATCTTCATAGTGATATGGTCTACATGCTGATAACTCTCCACACAAAGTTTTTTATTTAAATAAATTCAACTATGGAAACTTACCATAAATCCATGCAATTGTCATCAGCTCCGCAATGGCCAAAAACAGGGCAATAAACGAACAACCAAAGAAATCCACCAAATTCAATATGAACTGCCCGCCAGGGGTCATGTAAATAATGCCACACAAAAACCCGACCACCGCCATGGCAATGGCCAACATCCAGTGCGGCAGGAAGGCAAAACGATCCTTTATCACGGTTATTACACACGAAGCCATGCCGACATTGCTGCCCATGCCCAAGACCAACAGCATCAGGAAGAACAACACGGCAAAGACCTGAGGTAAATGTTTAAATTTGGCAATGGCTTCGGGATAAGAAATGAATGCTAGGCCAGCACCGCCCTTCACCACTTTGGAAATATCCGAACTATTGGTTTCGTAGGCCAGATTACCCAAAATGCCGAATATAATGCAGCCAGCCAGTATGGAAGTTACTGAATCGACACTGGTTATGATAATGACATCTCTGGAATGGAAAAACAATAATAAGAACAACAAAAAGAACAGCAACAATTTTTATGGCATCATAAACAGAGAAAATACGAAGGAGGAGAAGAAGCAATTTATGAGGTTTAGGGTAGTAAATTATACACCTTCACAGCACCTCCTCCTTCGCCTACTATTCTTGCTCCTCTAACTTACCTGTAAACATTTTTGCGAAAATTATTGAAGGAGGCATACATGACCAGAGTACCAAAACATATGGCCAAGGAAAAGAACATTTGGGTTATGGCATTGTACCAAACCTGGAAAGGAAATGGAGAACGAAAGAAGAAGCAATGAAAAAAAGAGGTCACATACATTACATTTGCATCTCACACATATGCAGATGTATGTGTGTATGTCTGTTAACCTACTTGTGGATTTAAGAGTTGATCCCATTGTGGTTTTAAAAAGTACACAATGCCATCTAAGGCCCCTGGCAGAGTTAAGGCACGCCACAGCAGCACAAACATAACCACATATGGAAATAGGGCCAAGAAATAGGATGCTTTACCCGAACTGCGTATACCTTTGATTAATATGATGGCAATTAAGGTCCATGCAGCCATTAGGCAGAGTATTAAATCCCAGCTGGGCACACCTAAACCATCATCCAAAGATTCGGCTTCCCGCAATACGGATTTTGTGAAAAATAACTCAGCTGATGAAATATGTTTGCTCACGGTTTCATTTGGCGTTTGAGGTAATATCTCAGAAGTGGCAATACATTCAGGACCCCATTCTGAACGGCAATAGGTCCAGGGTAAAATTTCGGCAAAGGAGGAAATTAAATATTTGATGGTTAAAGCCATAATGCTGGCATAATAGGTGGTGGCCACAGCGGTGGAATATACCTGGCCATAGGCGATGCCTGGAAATAATTTCATCATTCACAATATTTTACTGAAAGCCCTGACATTTTTTACTTACCCTTCATCAACGGCACCATACCGAAAGCCTTAACACATCCCCGACTGGAGAACTGGCCCAATATCACTTCCATATAATACACCGGTCGGCCAATCAGCAGCAGTACAATAACATATGGAATAACAAAAGCTCCCCCACCATTGGCCAGGGCAATGAAGGGAAAACGCCAAACATTACCCAGTCCCACCGACAAGGCAATGCACGAGAATAAAAATTCAATTTCATTGCCCCATTTGTCACGTATCGAACCGGATTCACTGCTGGTTACATTCGAAATGGAGACCTAGCAAGTGAAGAGGAAAACGGAAATTATTTCAACATTTTGAAAAACGTTTTGAAATACTTACATTATCCTTGCTATAGAGGATACTCTGTTTGGTGGAAGTACCCTCTTCCGCCTGCAGAAGATTTATCTGCTGTTGTGTTAATTTGTCATAGGCTGCATTCATTTTTTTATTTTCCAGTGGCAGTGTGTGGCTACAAGGAGAGAAGAAAATGAAGGAGGGTAGAGTATAAGGAGATTCCACAGGGAGTTATTCTATACATAGTCTGCCATTGGTTTCTATCTTTAAAGCAAAGTAAGTCATCTTTTTTCTATAGAAAAAACATTCCTCAGTGGTCAGAGAATTTTTTTCTGCAGAAAAACATTTCTCAGTAGTCTGAGGAATTCTCTTTAAGCATCCACGCCTCTAGAGGGCCTTTGAAAATTTCTTTAAAAATCCACGCCTCTAGATGTCAGTATGGCCTTTGGAAATTTCTTTAAAAATCCACGCCTCTAGAGGGCAGTATGGCCTTTGGAGATTTCTTTAAAAATCCACCCCTCTAAAGGGCAGTATTGCCTTTGGAAATTTCTTTAAAAATCCACGCCTATAGAGGGCAGTATTGCCCTTGAAAATTTCTTTAAAATCCACGCCTCTAGAGGGCAGTATGGCTTTTGGAAATTTCTTTAAAAATCCATGCCTCTAGATGGCAGTAATACCTTTCGAAATTTTTTTAAAAATCCCCGCCTCTAGAGGGCAATATGGCCTTTGGAAATTTCTTTAAAAATCCACGCCTCTAGAGGGCTGTATGACCTTTGCAAATTTCTTTAAAAATCCACGCCTCTAGAGGGCAGTATGACCTTTAGAATTTTTTTTTTAAATCCACGCCTCTAGAGGTCAGTATGGCCTTTATATTTTTTTTAAATCCACGCCTCTAGAGGGCAGTATGGCATTTGGAATTTTCGTTAAAAATCCCCGCCTCTAGAGGGCAGTATGGCCTTTGAAAATTTCTTTAAACCTCCACGTCCCTAGAGGGCAGTATGGCCTTTATAACTTTTTTTAAATCCAAGCCTCTAGAGGGCTGTATGGCCTATAGAAATTTCTTTAAACATCCGCGCCTCTAGAGGGCAGTATTGCCTTTGGAAATTTCTTTAAAAATCCACTCCTCTAGAGGGCAGTATTGCCTTTGGAAATTTCTTTAAGCATCCACGCCTCTAGATGGCAGTATGGCCTTTGGAAATTTCTTTAAAAATCCACGCCTCTAGAGGGCAGTATGGCCTTTGAAAATTTCTTTAAAAATCCACGCCTCTAGAGGGCAGTGTGGCCTTTGAAAATTTCTTTAAAAATCCACGCCTGTAGAGGACAGTGTGGCCTTTGAAAATCTCTTTAAAAATCCACGCCTGTAGAGGGCAGTGTGGCCTTTGAAAATCTCTTTAAAAATCCACGCCTGTAGTGTGGCCTTTGAAAATTTCTTTAACAATCCACGCCTGTAGACAGCAGTGTGGCCTTTGAAAATTTCTTTAAGCATCCACGCCTCTAGATGGCAGTATGGCCTTTGGAAATTTCTTTAAAATCCACGCCTCTAGAGGGTAATATTGCCCTTGGAAATTTCTTTAAAAATCCACACCTCTAGGGGGCAGTATTGCCCTTGGAAATTTCTTTAAAATTTCCAATCTTCTTTAATTTGGAGACTTTATTTGGAGTATTTTCAGTGGCAGATTTTTTATAAAGGCTTTTTTTGGAAATCTAAGAATGGCTTTTTACAAGGTTTCTCATTTCCCATTTACCTTACTTCCTATTTCACACCACCCTAATGTACGTTTCATTTATAGAGTAAGAAAAAACAATAACAGCAATAACATACAGATACTGCAATTGTCTGACAGCTTGCAAACAAGACATGTTATTGACATTCGCATTTGACCACGGCATTTTTTTATGATTGAAGAAAATAAATCAAATGAAAAAAAAACATAGATAAGCTTCTGCCATAAATCGTAGCTTGGTAGCTGCAGCTGGACGAAGAAACAGCAGCTGAGAAGTAAACAGGGTTAGCATTGTAAAATAATAAACGTGATGTGATTTGTTTCCTTTTCAATTTTGGAAAATTGTTCAATAGAAGAATTTCTTCGAAAAATATTGGCATCCAGCGATTCTTATAAGAGAAAAGATTTTAATACAGAAAAATTCTTCTGAGAAATTCCTACTCTGAGCAGTCTTATTTTTTCTTATATATTTATTATTAGAAAATATACTTCAAATTATTTTTTAATAAAAGCCGATGTTCATCAAATTAGCCTTCTTAAATATCCTTCAATTAAAAAAAAATATTCCGTTCCTCGTCCTTTTTAACACAAATATAACTTCTGAACTTCTTTGCGATAATTGTACAATATTTTTTTTTTTGTTATAGAAAAGGGTCTTAAACATATGTGGATTATGTGCCTAATTAATGGATAACTCTACACAAGTTCTAATCACATTTACTAACATAACAACATTATCTATGTATATATCATTTGTATAAACCTTGAATTTGGTAAAACAAAAAATGAGTCTCTTCTGATTAGAAGAATAGAATCTATTTTAGGCCTGGGGGAGCAATTTTGAAGCGTTTCTAAGTGCAATGAACTAAATACATATATATACGTATTTGAATACCTTAGATAACGTGCCACGAAGAAATGTCAACAAACCACCTTATGATTTCTAAAAAATAATAATAATAAAAATATTACGATTTTCGTTTGGTCTGTTTAATAATAAACAAAACAAAAAATATAACAAACAAAAATATAAAAACAACAACTATTAATTTATATAAAAAAAAAATATTTATGCACTCCTCACAACATCACCTTTGCATTGCAATTGGGCGGAGAGACAAATGAATGGTGTAGAGTCTGCGTCTATTTGCCCACCGGAACTTATGTCTGCAAACACTGGTGATAACAAACCAAACAATAAAAATAACAAATCCCGAAATGAAGACTAAGTAAATATTTTTTAGAGTAGAATGATTTTTTTTTATTTTGGTCTTGTCTTGGGCATCATATCTGATTTTTATAAAAACGCAAGTCCAAAGTCTTCAGGTGGAGATTTTTCTTATGGAAATGACTTCTTTAGTAGAAAAAAAGGGAATATATCAAAAAATAAATTTTGAAAAGTTGAAGTTATAGAAAATGTTATAATGAAGGCTTATGCTCTTTATTAAAACCTGTCTAAATTGTATTGCTTATATTAAAAAAAAACTTTATTTGTTAATAAAATAAGACGTTTTGGAAATTCTCATAAATAATTTAGGTATACTTTGCACAGTGGTGCAGAAATCGATTTTCCTAATCAAACACCCATTTTTATACCTTCCACCATAAGGTGGAGTGTATACTTAATTTTTATTCCGTTTTCAACACCTCGAAATATTTATCGGACATCCCATTCCCCACATTCTTGATTATTATAAAATTCTATGTCGAAAGAAATCACAATATTTAAGATAGAGTTCTGAAAATTTGTACAGACATATTGCAATGGGGTATTTCGGTCAACGTAGTTTGGTGTAGGTTTTCTAACCGAATTGACTGTAATTTGGTATTTTGGGTTCTCATCAATAACACATATCCGTACCAAAAAATATTAATATTGAACCAAGTTTCAGGGTAGCCATCATATAACTAACTATACCCCCAATATTCGGTATTTGGCGATTTTACACAGGTTCTCCAACCGAAATGGCTATAATTTACCATTTTGGGTTATCATTGAGTAACAAATATCCGAACAAAAAATAAGTAATATTGACCTAAGTTTCAGGGTAGCCCTCATAAAACAGTACCCCCAATATTCGGTATTTTGGCTTTTGACTTGTAAAAATATATATTTCAAAAAATTCACGCCTCATATGGAATCTTAAAAAATATTTTAAATAAAGTTCATTTTGTGGTATTTAGTTTGAAAAAATTAGGAACGAAAATAGGCACAAGGACTCGAGATAGAAGGAGGATATGTTTTACAATAATGTTCCTAATTCGATTGGACCTGTAATAATGGCAAATAAAGATATAAAATATTTTCTTCATGAACAATGGAATTTCGATTTTTGCCTTTGGACAAAAAATCGACTTTTAGACTTTTCGATTTTTGCCATTGACCAAAAAGTTGACTTTTCGATCTTTCGATTTTGTCCAACCGGTTCAGAATCGGTTTCGTCTAATAAATTCGATAAATTGTTGTCAGCAAATAAAAAAAATTCTGGAATGTGTATTCTTTGGGCAATTTGGGCTTTGGTATAATTAACCAAGCATTTATAAAAGAAACGAAACTAGATCTTGAAAAGTCGACTTTGCGATTTCAAAGATGAAAAGTAGACTTCGACTTTTTACTTTTCAGTACAAAAAGTGGATTCATCGATTATTCTAAAGTCGATTTACTTATCCCTACTTCAAGGGCTTTCGTCTACCAACGGACTTTTCCAGGCCCCAAAATGTTGTAAAATGGTAAATTAGAGATATGAATTTTAAAATTTGGTTTAGAGATTTTTATATATAAATGCAGATTTTGTAGCCTTTGGGTATAAAATTTATAATTTTTAATATTTTTTTTTTTATTTATTAAAAAAATATTACGAATTCGTCCTTTGAATTATTGAAGTAATATTCCATTGGACCCCTTTGCAAACTACCCTCGTTCTTAAAAACAAATATTTCACCTTTCTCCTTTAATAAACAATTATTTTTTTATTTAAGAATCAACTCAATTACTTTCACTATCTTTGAAAATTCTCTGACAGATTTATGATTTGTTAACATACGGGTATGTTCTGGAACTCACGGTGTGTTCTTTTCACATTACACATACACTTCACCTCAGAAGCTACCTCCTGTTCTGCTTCTCACGTGAATTGAAATTTTGAACTGCGACAAAAATAAACGTCGACATGGTACTTTGCAGAAATATTGTTGCCATACAATATAAACTGTATTCGTTTTTAGCATTGCTTCTGTAAATTTTTAGTAATTTCGTTAATTCTAACGACAATTTTATTATTATTTTTTAATATTTTATTATTCGCAACATAAAATATATGTATGAAACCTCTGTAATATCATTAAATTGTTGATTGATTTAGGGGGAACATTTGGTAACCCTAACTTTTTCGGCCTTACATCAAATCAGCTGTTTGTGTCAAG